GTTTAGGGGTTTAGGGGTTTGGGGGTTTAGGGGTTTAGGGGGTTTAGGGGTTTAGAGGTTTAGGGGTTTAGGGGTCTAGGGGTTTAGGGGTTGAGGGGTTCAGGGGTTCAGGGGTCTTAGGGGTCTTAGGGGGCTTAGGGGTCTTAGGGGTCTTAGGGGTCTTAGGGGTTTCGGGGTTTAGGGGCAGGGCTTTAAAAGCCTGAAGTGTTGTCCAAGCTCAGGCCGTTGGCAACTCGTTCAACGACATAGTCGCTCGGCTTGGGTCACGTTAGTCAGCGTCGGGGAGCGCGAGAGCTTCGGCATTGCGCATGTGAGTTGAGGGTTTACGGGCGCTGGCATTCTTGGGGGGGAGGGGGGCGCACAGCCTAAAGCTCTAAGCGCTTTCCTGGAATGAAGATGTTTAGGGTTTATATGGGGGTTGGGTTTAATTATGTAGGGTTCAGGATTTAGGAATTACACAGGGTTTAGGGTCTAAGGTTTAGGAGCATATGTACTGGAATGGGTGTTTTAGGCAGTGTATGTGAAATATGTAACGAGCTTATAACGGTGATGCTACTGGCAATTACCGGGCCGTCATCTTGAATATCCCCAAGTTGCCCGAAGAGACGCCAGAAATCAACCTGCTATGTATGCTTCTTGTCTTTCCTTATTAGGTGCGCAGGGTTGGCGAGCGAGAGAGAGAGAGAGAGAGAGAGAACGAAGCCCTAGATTTTCTGGCTCAGGTTTGAAGCCCTAAGAGCCCCCCCCCCCCCACAAAAAAAAGCATCAAAAGCATCCCTCAAAACCCGAAAGAGAAACAAAAGACTCGACCCGCCCCCTAAACCCCAAACCCCCAAACCCTAAACCCCAAACCCCAAACCCTAAACCCTAAACCCCAAACCCTAAACCCTACACCCCAAACCCTAAACCCTACACCCCAAACCCTAAACCCTAAACCCCAAACCCCAAACCCTAAACCCTAAACCCTAAGCCCTTGGAAAGAGCCCAGGAGATGCTCCGTGCCGCGGAGAAGGGAATCCTCTACCGGCCCTCCGAGTCCATCCGGAAGGAAAACATGGACTCTTGGGTGCTGTAGGGTTTAGGGTTTAGGGTTTCGGGTTTCGGGTTTAGGATTCAGGGTTTAGGATTCAGGGTTTGGGTTACTGGAAGGGTCATGGGAAGTTAAACCCCGGTTCTAAGCACCCTAAATGTGGTTATCCCTAAACCCTAAACCCTAAATTATAACTAAGGCAACCATACTTACAACCCCATTTAGGGTTTGGGGGGGCTCTCTTGATGCTCCTGTGCCCCTTTGAGGCACAGCGGATCGGATGTGTGGCCTTCATGGGTAGTTGCAAGTAGGGTTTAGGGTTGAGGGTTGAGGGTTCAGGGCCAACCCTAAACCCTGAACCCCTCCGCAAATCCCAGGATATTCCGGTTGTCAAGACCTACGATGAGCTCAAGGCCGTCATTGAAGGAGTGGTGGCGGACAAAATTGAGCCCAACGGCAAGAGGCAAAAGGTTTAATGGTGTTTAGGGTTTGGTGTTTAGGGTTTAGGGTATAGGGCCTCTTGACGCGGCCCAGGCAGGGCAAGGCGAATGCTCTGCCTCGTGTTGCAAAGGTTCACGGCCTCTTTTTGAAGATACAGGCCACACAGGAAGGGTGCAGGGTCGAACCCACCGCTTCTCACCCTGCGCCCTAAGCCCTGAACACCCTAACCCCCGAAGCCCTCAACCTTCAACCCTTAACCCCAAAAACGCTTCGCGGCCTTGGAATCCCGGTACTTGGGATCATTTGTGGAATGAGGGCGCTTACACGCCCCCTCCCTTACGCCGAGGGTTCAGGGTTCAGGGTTTAGGGTTTATGGTTGAGGGTTGAGGGTTTAGGGTTGAGGGTTCCTAACCCGAAACCCTACACCCGAGACCCTAAACCCTAAACCCTAAACCGCCTAAACCTTGAGGGTTGAGGGTTGACGTTGAGGGTTGAGGGTCGAGGGTTTAGCCCGAAGGTTTCAAGACCCCTGTTCCCCAAGCCCACATGGCCCAGAAAGAAAGGGCAGAGGGTGCCAGGGTGCGATGGCCCACAAGCCGGCATTCATGAAGGCGCTTGCCAGATCCCCTCCCCCACCATCTTCTAATCAAGTTAAGCCTAAACCCTAAACCCTCAGCACCTGAAGCCTCGGCACCTAAACCCTCAACCCCAAACCCCTAAACCCCTAAACCCTTAAACCCTTAAACCCCTGAAGCCCTGAAGCCCTGAAGCCCTGGAGCCCTGGAGCCCTGGAGCCCTGGACCCCCGACCCTAAACTAAACTCTAAACCCCTAAACCCTAAACCCCAAACCCTAAACCCTAAACCCTAAACCCTTGGGGACATGGCAAGCTCAAAATGGCGGAGCCACAATTGGCCACAGGGTGCCCCTGTGCCAAGCTCCCCAGGGCTTCTTGAGGTCCCCGAAAGGGTCGGAGATGGCTTAGGGTTGAAGGGCTTTAGGGTTTAGGGTTTAGGGTTTAGGGGCTTAGGGGCTTAAGGGCTTAAGGGCCTTTGGGTTTAGGGTATAGGGTTTGGGGCTTAGGGATTAGGGTGTATAGAAGGGGCCAGGGTTTAAGGGCTTTAGGGTTTAGGGTTTAGGGTTTTAAATTTAAGAGCTTTAAGGGCTTTGGGGTTAAGGGCTCTAGGGGGCTTTGGGGCTTGGGGCTTAAATTGAGAGCTTAAGGGCTTTATGGTTTAGGGGGCGGGTTTCGGGGCTTTAGGGTCTAGGGCTTCGGTGGTATTTAAAAAGCTCAGCATTCTGGTGGATCTCTGAACTTTAAATACATTGCGTACTGGTTCTAGGGTCGGTTTTCAAGGCGACCATGGGCAAGCAAGGGAAAGACCCCGATGAGGGCTTACAGATGTAGGTCTTGATTGTTCCCCAAACCCTAAAACCCTAAAACCCTCAACCCTACGCCAACGAGATTGGGGAACTAGGGGAATCATCCTGCAAAGCCCCATGTGGGTGCGTTTTGAAGGCTGAGGGCGTACCATCGGCTCAGCTGAGGGACATCCTTGCTGGAGACGTTTAGGGTTTGGGGGCTTTTGGGGTTTAGGGTTTAGGGTTTAGGGTTTAGGGTTTAGGGTTTAGGGTTGTAAGCTCTCCGGCGCTCAGAAGCCCGTTTCTGAAGGCAGCTCCCCAGTGCGAGATACAGCTCCAGCTCACCTCTTGGGGGTATTGGAGCGACGGCAGGGTTTCGGGCGTGCTGAACTTAGGGTTTAGGGTTTGGGGTTTAGGGTTTAGGGTTTAGGGTGTAGGGCTGATATAGGGTTTAGGGTTTAGGGTTTAAATTTTGCCTAGTTTGGCTTCGGTTTCACGCGGAGGGGCTTTACCCTTTTTTGAGACCCCTATATAGTACAAGGACCCTCCCAAAACCTTCGGCAGCCCTCAATCGTAAGCCCTTTCAACCCTGCAAAGCTGAGACTTGGGTTTTAGGGTTTAGGGTTTGGGGTGTAGGGTTTAGGGTTTAGGGTTTGGGGTTTAGGGTGTAGGGTGGCAAGAGCAACCCAGCCTGGCGACCACCCGTGTAGAGTAAGGGATAGTCTCTGAAAGGAAAGGTCTAAAGAATGATTCGGGGGAAAAGAAGGCAAAAATGTGCAAGGGAACATGCTTGAGTCTTAGATGAGCTTCGACGCTCCCGTCAAAGTCTCATCCTGCCTGCACTGACTTATCGGCCGCGTCTTGAGTTGTCAAGTCGTGGCTAGCAGGCCGTTCCTCTTCGGGGTCAGTGTTGGTTGGTGGCTTGGTAGGCACTGCCTTAACGGTTATGTCTCGTGCATCGAGTCATGGCCATCCAGCAGTGCCAGATGACTAGCGTCAGGCTTCAATGAAGCGGCGCATGTGTCAAGCACGCGGCCGCCATCCTCCTGGCCACAGAGGCGCACGAGAGAAGCTCCGTCTACCTGCCCGCGGCACTAGTTTAACAGCCGCGTCTTGAGTTGTCAAGTCGTGGCCATCCAACGGTGCCAGATGAATGGCGCCCGGTTTCAATGAAGCGGCTCGTGCGTTCAGCATGCAGACGCTATCCTGCTGGGCAACAAGATATGCTCCCTTGGCACTGGATCTTACCCAGGCCACTGCCTGACGCAGATGTAGCTGCCTGCAGGCGGCCGTTCCTCTTCGGGGTCAGAGTTGGTTGGTGGCTTGGTAGGCACTGCCTTAACGGTGATGTCTCGCGCATCGAGTCATGGCCATCCAGCAGTGCCAGATGACTAGCGTCAGGCTTCAATGAAGCGGCGCATGTGTCAAGCACGCGGCCGCCATCCTCCTGGCCACATAGGCGCAGGAGAGAAGCTCCGTCTACCTGCCCGCGGCACTAGTTTAACAGCCGCGTCTTGAGTTGTCAAGTCGTGGCCATCCAACGGTGCCAGATGAATGGCGCCCGGTTTCAATGAAGCGGCTCGTGCGTTCAGCATGCAGGCGCTATCCTGCTGGGCAACAAGATATGCTCCCTTGGCACTGGATCTTACCCAGGCCACTGCCTGACGCAGATGTAGCTGCCTGCAGGCGGCCGTTCCTCTTCGGGGTCAGAGTTGGTTGGTGGCTTGGTAGGCACTGCCTTAACGGTGATGTCTCGCGCATCGAGTCATGGCCATCCAGCAGTGCCAGATGACTAGCGTCAGGCTTCAATGAAGCGGCGCATGTGTCAAGCACGCGGCCGCCATCCTCCTGGCCACATAGGCGCAGGAGAGAAGCTCCGTCTACCTGCCCGCGGCACTAGTTTAACAGCCGCGTCTTGAGTTGTCAAGTCGTGGCCATCCAACGGTGCCAGATGAATGGCGCCCGGTTTCAATGAAGCGGCTCGTGCGTTCAGCATGCAGGCGCTATCCTGCTGGGCAACAAGATATGCTCCCTTGGCACTGGATCTTACCCAGGCCACTGCCTGACGCAGATGTAGCTGCCTGCAGGCGGCCGTTCCTCTTCGGGGTCAGAGTTGGTTGGTGGCTTGGTAGGCACTGCCTTAACGGTGATGTCTCGTGCATCGAGTCATGGCCATCCAGCAGTGCCAGATGACTAGCGTCAGGCTTCAATGAAGCGGCGCATGTGTCAAGCACGCGGCCGCCATCCTCCTGGACACATAGGCGCACGAGAGAAGCTCCGTCTACCTGCCCGCGGCATTAGCTTTGAAAGGGCAAACTGGACAACCGTAGGAAGCACCCTCAGCTTGAGACCAGAAGCCCACAGCTAATATGGTTCAGCAGGAGACCCTACCACGCTAAACTTGAAGCCCCAGACCATATTCCGAAGATGTTGAGCACATGTTGATGGCTATAGTCCCGAAACCCGAATCCCAAAGAGAAGTGCCGCCATACAAAAAATCGTCAAGCTTAAAGTTGCCCTCTGAATGGTTGGGAGTTTCTCATCAAAGTAGGGGTACCCCCTAAATCCCCCCCTCTGCTTCTGATGATTGAGCGTAACTTGGGAGTCTTAATAAGTGAATGACGGTATGTTGTCTGCATGTTCAAGGAACCCATAATAACAAAAACCTAATTCTATTGCACTATCACTCTTGATGGGCATTGGACTATAAAGACCTTTCCCATATCCAACTGACTGTGCTGCTGATAAACCTTTTTGGATGAGATCCATCTTATTTTTCGTTCACAGTGTTCGTAAGGGCTTTGAAGTTGTAATATACAAAACATAATCAGACTTGGTACATAATTTGCATACCCCACTATATGAACCTTGCTACTAAGAACGAAAAACTCCAGTTGAAGGTTGAGTGTCAGGGTGTTTGAGATCCCTAAACCCTAAACCCTAAACCCTAAACCCTAAACCCTAAACCCTAAACCCTAAACCCCAAACCCTAAGCATCTTCGAAGCCCAGCCCGACATTGCGGACCCGGCGATCCCGAAACCCTTGCATCGCCAGTCATTGCGGCCACCGTCCGCTTGAAGGTTCAGGGGGTTTTTGGGGGTTTAGGGGGTTGAGGGGGTTGAGGGGGTTTAGGGGGTTTAGGGGGTTTAGGGGGTTTAGGGTTTAGCGGGTTTAGGGGGTTTCGGGGGTTTAGGGGGTTTAGGGGGTTTAGGGGGTTTGGGGGGTTTAGGGTTTAGGGTCATGGGAGGAAACTTCGACCCCGACTGTCACAAACGCACCTTCGAAACAAAATGCCAAACACTTAACCCCCCGAAAGCATCTTCGCCCGGTAGCTTAGGGGTTGAGAGTTTCGGGCTTAGGCAGCTCACTGAACGCCCTAAACCCAATTTTTGCGCTGACCGCACTTATGACCCTGCCTTTAAACCCTAAACAACTAAGCCCTAAACCCTAAACCCTAGACCCCCTTAAACCCATGACCCTGCTTGTCAGAATCCTTGAACCTTCACGTATTCTCTCTGGACCACCGGTGATGCTTTCGGCGCGGTTGCGGGAAAAGCCTGGGCCGGAGGTTGGGATGCTTGGAAACTTTAGGGTTGAGGGGTTAAGGTTTAGGGTTTGGGGTTTAGGGTTTTGGGTTTCGTGTTTTGGGATGGTTTGGGTTTTGGGTAGTTCTTGGCAAGTTGAGAGCACAGTCTTTTAGCCCACTGGACAGCGAGGTGTTAGTTAACTCAAACCCTAAACCCTTAGCCCTAAGCTCTAAGCCCTAATCCCCAAACCCTCAGCCCTAAACCCTACGGGTTTGGAGGTCTCAGGGAAGTGGGAAGTAGCTGGGATATTGAGCCCCGAAGGCCCAAATCCTCGCCCTGAGCCACCCCGAACCCAACACCCTAGACCCTAAACCCCTAACCCCTAAACATCCCTAAACCCTAAGCCCGAAACCCTAAACCCCAACCCCCAAACACCCTAAACCTAGAAGCCCTTGTTGGGAGAGTCGAAGCTGGAAAGCCCTCACATGGCGGCTCAAGTGTCGCAGGCTGCCTTTTTTGTTGAGGACCCTAAACCCTAAACCCTAAACCCTGAACCCTGAACCCTAAACCCTAAACCCCCAAAACCCCCAACCTTCAAGGCTTTGGGTTCAGGGTCGGAAGCTGGCTTTCGGGGAAACCCTGGACCCGAAACCCTACAAGGTTTAGGGTTTCAGGGCTAGAGGATTTAAGTTTTCAGGGTTTAGGGTTTGGGGTTTTGGGATTCCCAGACCCGGCGAAGAGGATCTAGAGGGTGGATTGACTCTTAAGGACTCCTGTACATGGTTTAGGGTTTAGGGGTTAGGGTTTAGGTTTCAGTGACTCAATGGTAGTGAGGGTACCGAAGTCGGTTTAGGGTTTTGTCTAGGGTGTCCTTTGTTCTATAACTCTTATAAACACCAGATCTAATTAGGGCCCATACTTCGGATCCCTCTAAACAAGGGTAAGGGACCAGTGCCAACCTTAGATTTAGGGTTCAGGGGGGCAGTTGCCGGACTCGACCCACATGCAGTCTTCGGGCGCCCTGGCAAGGCGTTCCACTTGGGTTTGGGGTTTAGGGCTCAGGGCTTAGGGTTTAGGGTTTGGGGATTCCACTTGGGCCCATGTCAGTGGTTTAGGGTGGAGGTTGCATCCTAAGCTCCTAAATTTAAACTTTTCCATCCAACGAATCCGCCACTTCCATCTCCGTCAAGAGCATGCGATGTCCCAGCAGTTCAACTTCAGGTTCAGAGGAGAGCAGGCCCTTATCCCCTTTTTATTCAACTTCAGACAGACGTGTGAGCCGCACCTTGAAAACCTTTAGGGGTTAGGGCTTACTTAGAAGCTCTTGACTTACTGAGTTTACTTAGTATCCCCTAGAACCCACCTTACTAGCCCTACTTACGAAGTCTAAAAGGGCTTCCAATTATGTCTTTCCCTGAACCGTAAACACCACAGCACGGGCTGGTATATGGGTACTTGGGTTTAGGGCCTAGGGCTTAGGGCTTAGGGCTGCTTGAAGATCGTGGGTAGTTCTGAGTAGGGTTATGAGCAGGGTAGCTTTTGTTACAGCTTGGTATAACCAGCCCTACTTATAACTACCTCTGAACCTTCAGGTAGTTCTCTAAATTAGGGTCCCTGTCCTGTATGGTACAGCACTCTGAAAATCAGGACCCAAGAAAGGATCCTAGTTTAGAGAACTACCCATATTTGTGAGGTTTGGTGGTGCCCCAAAACGGGCCGTGACTGTGACAAATCAATACCCTAAACACTAAACCCTAAAGCCTAAACCCTAAACCCTAAACCCTAAACCCTAAACCCTAAACCCTAAACCCTAAGCGTCCTCAGCAGGTCGGGGTCTCCCCGAACTGTCGAATGTGTGGAACGAGGTGCCAGGGGTTCCAGAATAGGAGGTTTTTCTGTGTCAGGTATCCTATACCCCCATTAGCCCCGTAAACCCTGAACCCTAAACCCTAAACCTTAAACCCAAAAGCCTAAACCACAAACCCTAAACGCAATCCTAAACGGACGGTTTGCTAGAGAAGCTGTTTGGAGCTGGAAGCTGAGATCTGAGGATAGCAGGGTTTTGCTGGGGAGGGGCTCACAGGATTTCCGGGTTGCATGGGCGCGGCCATGCTCAAGCTGTACTCTTTACGGTCAACAGCGTTTCTTCTTTCGACATGCTTCGGCTTGCTTTGGCAGCGCTGGCCCTGCCATATCAGACTTTGGCAGAGGAGCTTGAGGCTACTGGCGCCCTTGCCCTGGACGATGCCTGTGCTTCGGATGCCTGCGACCTCTCCCTGCGGCAGCTGCGGGGGGAGAGCCGGACGATCCATGCCGGCGACCCTTAGCTGCTGAGTGGGTACACTTTACACTTTTTGGGGATATTCTTTATTCTTTACTCCCCTGCAGAACTGACAGTGTACACTTTTTTGGGGCTTATGAACTCAGCGACTAAGGACATGAGGGAGGGGCAGAACCTGACGGAGGATGCTTCGGAAGCTCCCAAGTTCAACTACAACTGGAACTTCGGCTGCACCGGAAAGACGGATCAAGAGAAGCCCGCCGGCGATGACCTCACCTTCAACCTCAACTGGAACCTGGGTCGTTGTTGAAAATCTTACATTTTCATGACTACTTAAAGCCAACAAGGAACCAAAGGATCATTTTTACTGACAATCGTCTTACATGTTTATGACTACTTAAAACCCAACAAAGGAACAAAGAATGGCCATTTTTTAACAATTTGTACCCCACCCTAAACCCTAAACCCTAAACCCTAAGCCCTAAGCCCTAAACCCTGAACCCTAACCCCCCCCCCCCCCCCCCCCCCCAACTTCGGTGCAGGAACTTCTGCTTCGACGAGAAGACGCTCGACAAGCTCCACAAGCTCCAGGAGGACGGGGCCTTCGACAAGAAGCCAGGCAAGTCGGAGGTTTAAGGTTTAGGGTTTAGGGTTTAGGGTTTAGGGTTACTAAACCCCTGATAAAACCCGTATAGACCCTTAGATACCCCTACAAAGCCTTATAAACCCCGAAAACTGCCCCCCCCCCCCCCCCCCCCAAAAGCTGCCCCCCTAACTTCCCCGAAAGGCAACTGCCGGTCTTTTGGCTGCACCAAGAGTTTTGACTTCATGACGCTGATGAATGAGTGCCAGTGCTTTCCTGGATGTGACAAGACCTTCCTGGGCAACACCTGCTGTCCTGACGCTTACCTGGGGCTTACGAAAGTAAGGGACCTCGAATGTAGACCCCAAATCGTCGCCATGCCTTAGCAGTAAGAACCCCAAGAAGGTACCGCGAATTTCAGAAACCCCCACTTAGCGAGAAGTTGAACTTCAAGCTTCTATGGGCTTCCTGAGTTTTAAAGTTTAGGGGTTAGGGTTTAGGGTTTAATAACCTTTGTTGTTCATTCCCTGGCGATGGGCGAAGTAAGGATTACAAGAGCCAGTGCGAGGCGGGAGAGGCGCAAGAATCTCAGGCCACCGCGCCCGCGCTGACAATCTCCGGCTTCACGACGTACGCGAACGCCCACTGCGAGAACTCTCAAGGAGCCTTGGTACCCCAGTGGTATCCTTTGATATGGGGGGTCGGAAGAATTACCAATAGTATTCCCTTATGGCCCCTATATATTTATGCTATAACAACCCCCGAAAAACGCTGTTCTAATGATTAAGGCCCCTACAGTACCCGTTTTTTTTTGGGTTCAAGGTTCCCTTATAAAGTAGCCAACCCCAAAAAAAGGTGCCCTGCAAGATGGTTCCAACCCTAAACTCTAAACCCTAAACCCTACACCCTAAACCTTTACTGCATGGTTCCCTAGTACCAAAAAGAAGTGGCACCCTTATTAAAAAGATGCTTGCTGGGCTACCAAGAGAGGAGCGCTGGAGCTAAACCCCAAACCCCAAACCCCAAACCCCAAACCCCAAACCCCAAACCCTAAACCCTAAACCCTAAGCCCTAAGCCCTAAGCCCTAAACCCTAAACCCTAAGCCAAGAGAGGAGCTCTGGAGCTCTCCAGCTCCCGCGCCTCACCCGCTGGCTGCGCGAAGCGGTGCGAGGGCAACGCCGAGTGCCAGGGCTTCACGATCTCCGCCCAGAATCTCGGTTTAGGGTTTAGGGTTTAGGGCTTAGGGCTTAGGGCTTAGGGCATAGGCTTGGGGCTTAGAGCTTGGGGTTATAGGCTGGTTTAGGGTTGAGGGTTGAGGGTTTCGGGTGCTTCGGGTTATAGGGTTGTAGGGTTTGGGGTGAATTATCGGGTTTAGGGTTATAGGGTTACAGGGTTACAGGGTTATAGGGTTTCTTGGTTATAGGGTTTTTTGGGTTATAGGGTTATAGGGTTACAGGGTTTAGGGTTTAGGGTTTCGGGCTTCCTCCTTTTCTCTTCTTTTGGTCCAAGGTTCCCTTATAGAATAAGCAACCCAAAAAGGGTGCCCTTATTGTAATATGGTTACTGGGCTACCTGGGAATCGGCCCTGGGGGCATTTTGTATTTTCCCTTATTGGGTTTAAGAGGATCATCTTCGGGGATCTCAAACCCTAAGCCCTAAACCCTAAACCCTAGGGGCCATCCCAGGAATTCGTGCACCTTGCTTGCCGGCATCAACATTCCAGCCTGCGGCGTCAGCCCTGGCAAGTTCTCCACTTACGTGACTGGGATTGCAGTCGAACCCTTACTTGGAGGTTTACTGTCAGCTATAAGTGGGGTTGTGAGGTAACTGTACTTATAACCCTACTTGTAGCTACCCATGAACCTCCAAGTATTCTTTCTTTGCCAGGGTCCGGATCTCTCTCTGATCCGCCCCTCTACCAAAGAAGCGCGAAGCTTTTTGTACCAGCTTTCTGGGTTCTCAGTCATGGCGCACGAAACCCGAAACCAGTTTAGGGTTTAGGGTTTAGGCTTCAGCTAAACCCTATAAACATAAACCCTAAACCCTCCCCAAAGGTCAGGACGGAGGGCCCGAAGCCCCCGACGTGTTCCAAGTACATGGCGGATGTCGGCTGCAAGTGGGGAGTCTACGAAAAGAGGGGACCCCAAAAATAGACCCCCAAGTAGGATTCCCGTATAAAAAGGACCCCGGTAAGGTACCCCGAATATCATAAACCCCCATATAGAGCCCCAAATAGTAGGATCCCCTTATCGTAAGGACCCCAAACCCTAAACTCTAACCACTCTGGTCGGAACCAAGGGCCCTTAGTGCGGTGCCTTACCCTTGTTTCTAAGGATCCGAAGTATGGGGGGCCCTTGTCATATGTAGTGTATACAAGGGTTATAGAACAAGGGACCCAAATGAAGGGCCCAGACTTCGGCCCTAAACCCTAAACCCTACCCTAAACCCTAAACCTTACACCCCCTCAGGTGGACCGCTGACTACAGCTGCCCTGATCAAGTCGGCGGCGCGAAAGGGACCGCAGGCGCGGCTCTGGGGTGTGTAGGGTCTACTTGCAGGTTCTGGAGATGGTTTAGGGTTTAGGGTTTAGGGTTTAGGGTTTAGGGTTTAGGGTTTAGGGTGTAAGGTTTAGGGTTTAGGGTTTAGGGTTTTTGGTCACTCGCAGGGGTACTTGCAGGTTCACGGGTAGTCATAAGTAGGGTTATAAGCGCCCTAAATACGGTTAGAACCTTACTTATGACTACCCATGAACCTCCAAGAGGGAGGTTAGGGTTGAGGGTCGAGGGGTTTCGGGTGGTTTAGGGTTCAGCGTTTAGGGTTTGGTCTAGGGGGGTTGAGGGTTTAGGGTTTCGGGTGCGAGCGCGCAGGAAGTCTTAAGATTTGGAAAGGCCCGAGGACCTGAGCTTTTGTGGGCTTCGTCGGGTTGAGGCGATTGTAGGCTTCGAGGGCCGTGAGAGCTATTTTTGGAACAGGCTCGGGGGTTTTGCAAGGTCCGGTTCCCTAAAAGATTTCATTTCCTGAGGTTTAGGGTTGAGGGTTGAGGGTTTAGGGTAACTAGGACCCAGAGTAGGGCCTTATTCCCTTTTTTTTAGGGGTTCATGTTCCCTTTAGAAGCCCCTTTAAGCCAAACAAGGCACCCCTTCCAATTGTTGGGTTACTCTTGGGCTTGGGAAGCGATAGGGTTTAGGGTTTAGGGCTTAAAGGCTTAGGCGCCTTAGGGCTTAGGGTTTAGGGTTTCTGGTTTACGGTTTAGGGTTTATGGTTTAGGGTTTAGGGCTTAGATTAGTGGACGTGCGTGGGGTGCGCACCTTTGTTTTGGAAATTGGCAGGGGCGAAGACCCTATACCCTAAAACCGAAACCCTAAACCCCCTAAGCCCTCGACCCGAAAAAGAAGCCCCTGAGGCGATGATGGCAAGGAAGGCTACAAGTGTTGCTGCAACTTATTTTGTATTCCGGGCATTTGGGATGTAGGGTTTAGGGTTTGGGGTTGGGATGTTCCCCCTTAAAAATAACAGTCCCAAATAGGGAGGGGGGGAACATCCGAAGGTTTAGGGTTTGTGAATTCTGTTATTCTGTTGTTTTGCTGCATTTTTTGTGTGGGGGGCTGAGGGGGGAGGAGGCTAGGCTAGGGTTTCGTGGCTTCTCCTTTTCTTGGAGCACACCACGGCTTTCGTTTCTTGCCTGCCCTTAGGGTTTAGGGTTTAGGGTTTAGGGTAAACCTTCTACCCTGCTACGGAAGTACTATGGGAGTCGGAGTAAATCCGAATGGTTTATTCCCTTGTGGCCCTGTATGAGTATATTATTATAACCCCAAAGACCCTGTTCCTAGGTAGGCCCTTGGGATATTTCATATTTTCCCTTATTGGGTTTAACAGGACCATATTTAGGAATATTTTTCAGAGGGTTTGAAGGGCCATCCTAGGTTAGGGTTTAGGGTTTAGGGTTAAGGCCCCTATATTGCCTCCAGCAGCCAGCAGCCGAGGCGAGCTGGGCTGGTGGAAGTCCACACGTTTGGCTCTGCCGGCCGGGGTGCGGCTGAGAATTGTGACAGGGACTTGTAGGGTTTAGGGTTTAGGGTTTAGGGTTTAGGGTTTAGGGTTTAGGGTTTAGGGTTTAGGGTTAGGGTTTAGGGTTTAGGGTTTAGGGTTTAGGGTTTAGGGTTTAGGGTTTAGGGTTTAGGGTTTAGGGTTTAGGGTTTAGGGTTTAGGGTTTAGGGTTTAGGGTTTAGGGTTTAGGGTTTAGGGTTTAGGGTTTAGGGTTTAGGGTTTAGGGTTTAGGGTTTAGGGTTTAGGGTTTAGGGTTTAGGGTTTAGGGTTTAGGGTTTAGGTGTTCTTTTCCTTTTTTTGCCGGCACGGTTCCTCCAAGGTAACCCAATAAACCAAAAATCCGCATCCCTGCGCACTGCTTGTTCTTGTAGATACGTGAGAGCCTGATTAACTCTAAACCCGAAACCCTAGGTCAACAAGTACTCCGATCGGGCACTCTTCGCGAAGAAGGGCGATAATTGGGAGATGGGCTGCGGGGCTGGCACGCCCAAGAACAAAGTTGGAGAGGATGGCTACTGGACATTGGTGCCACAAGGAGAGAACCTTGCTTAGCCAACAGGTCGGAAAGTAGCGGTCCTTTTTTGCCGCCTTTAGCGGGGATTCTTCCTGTTTGGGAGTACGGCAAGTGAACCCGAGTTTTTGGATACTACCGGTAGGATTACAAAAACTTCAGACCCCAAACCCTATTTAAACCCTATCCCTAAACCCTAAACCCTAGACCACCGGCTCATGCTGCGGACTCCATGCTTGTTGGAGAAGTAAGGAACCAGTACCGAATTGTCAACCAGTTGTCGAACAGGGCTCTCTATGCGAAGAAGCCACCGGATTCGAACTGGGCGTCTTGGTCCTAGCTGGAGACGTCTTCTCAACCCTACACCCCAACCTCAAACCCCAAACCCCAAACCCCAAACCCCAAACCCCAAACCCCAAACCATAGCTAAACGTTTGGAGTTTTGGCTTTAGGGCCTAGGGGTTCGGGTTCGAACCCGAAACCCTGGAACCCTGAACCTTTTAGGGAGGGTCTCAGGGTTTAGGGTTTAGGGCCCCTAGAACCCTTGACCAGACACCGAGGAATGGGGCTGGGGAGCTGGTTCTCCACCCAACAAGGTGTGGAAAGATGGGATTTGGACCTTTGTCCCAGCCGGGGATGGGAGCGTCCGAATCGTGAATGTAGAAAGCAGCCTACTTGAAGTTAACAGGGTTTCGGGTTCAGGGTTCCCAAACCCGAAACCCTGAACCCTAGAACCCCTTGTTAAGGTAGGGGGTGAGGGAAGACTTTGTGGGAGCACCTGAACTGTGACGTAAATAAAGCTCGTCTGGGTAGTTCTTTAGACTAGGGGGTCCTATAGTACGGCAGCCCTGAAAGAAGGACCACAACAGGGACCTTACTTTAGAGAACCACACACATAGTTTCTTCGCTTTAGGTGTCTGATCAGATCTCTCTTCTTCATGAAACCCTCAGCCCCACATCTCCGGCAATCCGACCTTCGAGCTTAGGGCTTGGGGTTTAGGGTTTAGGGTTTAGGGTTTAGGGTTTGGGGTTTACGGTTTCCTCCGCGGTTTTAGGGCTTACGTGGAAAGCCCCAAGCTCCTAGACCTGATATGGGATGGAGAATAGACGTACTACTTCTCAGCAGGGAGCAAATGGCCCCCTATATAAGCCTTAGAAGGGTGATAATAGGGGGACATCAGTTCCTTGACCCTAAACTCTATAAACCCATCACCTCCTACTACTAGCCAGTAACAGGGGGATCAGTTCCTTTATCCTAAACTCTATAAACCCATCACCTCCTACTACTCGCCGGTAGCTTGACTTACTACTTCTTGGCAGGACTTCGGCTCTCTCTACTTACAAGCCTTCGAAAGGGCAATATAGGGGGGATGTTTAGGGTTTAGGATGTAGGGTTTAGGGTTTAGGGTTTAGGGTTTGGGGTTTAGGGTTGAGGGTTTAGGGTCATCTTAATCAAGCACCGGCAAGTTGAGGCAACCGCGCCCTGTATGCCAAGCTGGGCGGCCATGGGGAGGCGAGTTGGAGTGGCGGCGTGGGAGCCGGCTACCCCCCCAACAAGGCGCCCCTCGTTAGGGTTTAGGGTTTAGGGTTTAGGGTTTAGGGTTCAGGGTGTAGGGTTTAGGGTTTGGGGTTTGGGGTTTAGGGTTTAGGGTTACGGGCTTAAGGTTTAGGATTTGGCGTGTGAGAAATTCATGGGTGCATAGTGGGTTGTAAGTTCTGGTAACGAGTATCTATGAACCTTCAAATAGGGCGCAGAGTTAAGGGTTCGCATATAAGCTAAAGGATTGCATAAGACATGCCACCACACCCCAACCCAACCTAAGTATTGGGTTTAGGGTTTAGGGTGCACAGAAGTACCGACATTCAGGGCTTGGGGCTTGGGGGTTTTCGTCTCATTGGAGGGGGCGGCGGCACACCTCTCAAATCCCAGATCTTCAACCATACCCCTCGGAAGGTCTACAAGGATGCCGCCTGGATGTTAGAGTTTGTGGACTGACGCTGCCATGCGCGGCAAGGTTCATTCTACAGGACTTGTTCACGGCCTCCTTGGCCAAAGTGCTATGCCTCGTGAGGTCAGCTGGATGCGTCATGGACAAAGTCGTTCAGGATTTTGAGGTTTGTTAAAAACAAAGCCCCGAGCTGTAGAGGCGACAGGGGATATAGAGGTCAGGGCTCAGGTCACACAGGATGTCACACAAGATCCCCTCATGGGTTATGGGTTCAGGGCTTAGGCACTCCATGTGAAGTCCATGTGTGGCCCGGAGAGAGCAGGACCAAAACAACACCCAACACCCCTAGCTTGCAGGCATTCTGCAAGAACACAAAAGCACCGAGTACTTGAAGGTTCGTGGGTAGCTAGCAGTAGGGTTACAAGTGCCCTGAATAAGGTTATAACCAGGTATAAGTTATTCTTGCCCCCCTTAGAACCCTCTTCTCACCACCCATGAACCTTCAAGTAGCCCTAAACCCTAAACCCTGTAAACCTCCAAGTAGAATATTGCCAGCACTGCTACTTTAACGAGGTTCGGAGCCTCGGCTGGCATGCAAAGGTCAGGAATGGAACGTGTTCTTAAGGGCTGAGGGTTTAGGGTTTGGGGTTTAGGGTTTAGGGTTTGGGGTTTAGAGTTTAGGGTTTAGGGTTTAGGGCGCCTGAGCCGTCAATCATCCGGTCAAAGACATCGAGGCCCCTGGTCGTGCAACAGAGTTTGCACAATTCCCCTAGAACCATGTGGGGCTTACGAAAACAAGGGACCCCTAACATAGACCCCCAAATAGTAGGATTCCTTTATGAGAAGGACCCGATAAGGTACCCCTATTTTCGGAAACCCCCCATGTGTTTGTGGGGATCGCTCGTGGGGATGCAGGTGCTCGAAGAATTTCGCAAATGTTTGGAGACATGAGTTGCGATGAACGAGGAAGTTCAACCTCTTTTAGGGTTTAGGGTTTAGGGTTTAGGGTTTAGGGTTTAGGGTTTAGGGTTTAGGGTTTAGGGTTTAGGGTTAGCCGGAAGGCCTAAGCAACAGCCGGCCATAGCTTTAGCGGGTCACTTGGAGGTTCATAGGTAGTTGTAAGTAGGGTCATAAGCAGGAGAAATCTAGTCACAATCTTTTTTAGGGCCCTTAGAAACCCTACTCATAGCTACCCATGAACCTCCAAGCACCCCAAAACCCTAAACCCTCAACCCTAAACCCCAAACCCTACACCCGAAACCCGAAACCCTAAACCCTAAACCCCAAACCCAAAACCCTAAACCCTAAACCCGAACCCCCCGCCCCGCCCGCACATCTCCACATCACGATTGTACCGCAGGCTCACTTCGGGAAGCTGATGGCTGAGGAGAGGACGGAAGCTGTGGAATTTGAGGGTTTTGGCGCAATTCATATTAGGGTTTAGGGTTTAGGGTTTAGGGTTTAGGGTTTAGGATTTAGGGTTCCTTTCTATATCTATATCTAGAGAGCGTTTCGGAGCTGAGGGATCCAGACAGTTGGCCAAGCGCATGTTTCGAAAGGCGTGGCAGTTTTCGTGAGCGCCCGAGATCCTCACAGGACTCTTAGGGTTTAGGGTCTAGGGTCTAGGGTTTAGGGTTTGAGTCTCATCGAATTTGAGAAACCATTGGGGGCTGATGAGCAGAGTTCCAGACCCCAACTCCGAAAACTCCCGCTGTTCGTGGCCTTGGCACCTGCCGGGCTTTCAAGGCCTCCACACAGAAGCCAATCTTCAAATCCGTTGACTTAGGCTATATAGCTCGAGGCCTCAGCCTTAGAACCCCAGAATGCTGGGCTCAGCTTTCCATTGGTCCGCTTGCCTTAGGCAGGAGGCGCATTGCATTCTGTCTCCGAGCTGTGAGAAGGAAGCGCAAATTGCACTCCGCATGCCGTGTTTAGAGTGACCACGCTGGGTGGTGTGCCTTCACCTGGCCTCATACAGGACACGCTTTTTCTAGAAGACTCGCCTCTCGGTTCAAGCAGGTCCTCCCTGGTCCCGTCCGTGGTGGTGGAAGCCCATGAACCCACACTTCGGTGCTCGCTCGGTCTGCTTGGTGTCGTTGCTGCTGTTGCTGGCGGCGGCTGCAGATCCAGAGACGTGTGGGCAGGGACTTCAGAATGAGGAAATGCCGCTGCTACAGATTCTACGCCACACGCAAGAGTTCGTCAATTCGGTGGGGCCACAGGTTCCGCAACAGCTTGAAAACATTACAGGCGTGCCATCAGAGTGCAACTACCGGAACCATCGTACTCCCCGCTTCTATTTCCAGTCCGATCGCTTGCTCGACCCTGCAGGGCGCGCCGTGCCCCACAAGTGGCGCGTGAGTTTGGTGCAGGAACTGGAGCTACCATTGATTCAGGGGGAGAAGACTCAGAACCTTTCCTTGCCAGGCTCTTAACCCTAAACCCTAAACCCTCAACCCTGAACCCTGAACCCCAAACCCTAAACCCTAAACCCTAAACCCTAAACCCTTGCCAGGCTCTTTGCATGAGTTTGCACAGGGTGTCGAACTCGACGTCTTCTACTTGACGAGACAAGCCCCGGCCTCCGTCTTGACCCGCTCCCAGCGAAAGAAGGTGGACAAGGAGCCCTGGGTTCTTAGTAGGGGCAATCGGTTCAGGGTTCAGGGTTCAGGGTTCAGGGTTCAGGGTTTAGGGTTTAGGGTTTAGGGTTTAGGGTTTAGGGTTTAGGGTAGGGAATGGGGGAATTCGGTACTCAGGGAATGTGGGAACAAGGTACGCTACACAATCCCTTGAAGGGTATACATGGGAGTGTACGAAAATAAGAGACCCCCTAAAAGTAGACCCACAAATAGTAGGATTCCCTTATAATCAGGACCCCAGAAAGGTAACCCCTAACAGCGGAAACCACCATTTTGGTGGATGATGGTTTCCTCATTCTCCCCCTAGACCCTAAACCCTAAACCCTAAACCGCTCTCCCTACTAAGAACCAGCCAGGATGCCGTGTTCCTCACCAACGACAACCTCGAGCTTGAATCCGCATCTAGGATGCCCAGTAGTGCCCTTTAGGGTTTAGGGTTTAGGGTTTAGGGTTCAGGGTTCAGGGTTTAGGGTTTAGGGTTTAGGGTTTCGGGTTTGGGGTTTAGGGTTCAGGGCTTAGGGTTTAACTCGGACCTTCCCTTTTCAGCGGGGTTGAGGTTCCCTGCAAAACCTCTTTGTAAGCATCAAAGGAGCGCCCTTAATCCTAAACCCTAAACCCTAAAGCTAAACCCTAAACCCTAAACCCTACTGGACAACCTAGGCTTATTTGGGTGACATGGTCGGCAGCAACGCCGTGCACCAGAAGTTGCGAAGTCGTAAGCTAAAAAGCTCAGACTCCTGGGTTTGGAGTACCATACTTTTCTACTTTTTTTAACCTGATCCTGAAAGGAACCATTATGAAATACAAGTATAGATGTGTTTTTCTCCCTGGCTACTTCAAAGTCTAGGACTTGACGCAGGGTGGACTGCACGCAATGCGTGTCCATGCCGACACTGGCAGTGCCATAAAGTTTGCATACCTCACACTGCAATTTTGGATGCCATTGCTGTGCTCGACCTAGCGAGCTTCAAGATCGTGGAGATCTACTTTATTCCATGCCAAAAGTTGGGCTTGGAGATGGCACAGGACATGGATGCTTCAGCATATGGCATGGACGTGATGGATTGCGCAGCCCCACACACACTGACCTTGGACAAGAAAGGGAACATCTACATCACCTTCAAGGGCGCTGGAAGCATCGGCGTCTTGCAGAACCCAGCAAACTGCGTGAACCTCGACGGCTGTTGGAAAAGTTTCCCTATCGCAGCAGGAGCTAAGCCCTTCTACATTGACATTGCAACCGACGACACCACCGGCCACCAGTACATCTATTTCAACGATGTCGCTGATTCACACGTTGGCGTTTTCGACGTTACCCATGGGCACTTCCCCCCTGCACCACCACGCATTATCAATCTCCTGAAGCATGGCTTCAACTTCAATCCCAGGGCAGGCGGCTTGGTGGGTTTATGGAATGGTGCAGCCCTGTTCACGGCCTACTCCGAGAAAGGCTTGCTGATGTATGTGGACCCAGCTGGAGATGTAGAGCCCGTTTTCTTGGCGAACCCATCTGGTATGACGACAGAACCTCGGTGCAAATCCAGCATGATCAAGCCCTAAATCCTAAACCCCTAAGTTACTCAATTTTAACCCCCTGCTGTCATTTAACTTTTGTCGAGCGGTGACCTAATTTTAATCTTACGGCTTCTGTTGGTCATTCTCGTATGTCGGCGAAGTATTCTTCAGCACTTTTGGGATGTTGTTCAAGCGCGTCTTGTGCAACATGTTTTTTTGTTTAGGACCTGGTCTCTTCTCAGGTGCAATGCTAGGATGCCCAGTAGTGCCCTTATTCCCTTTTGGTAGGTTTAGGTTCCCTTATAAGCCCCTTTAAGCAAAAAAGGGCACCCGTTTTCATCCTAGGTTACTGGGCAACCTAGAATGGATATCTACACTGAATACCAACTCAGGGCCATGTTTTACGTCCTTGCATTTGCGCCTGTGTTCAGTTGCCACTCCTTGCTTAGTGCTACCTCAAATATCCTGAACATATGTTTTGTCTGACACTGGGCCGTTTGGAATATAGGGGTCGGACTAAGTACTAGTCGCACTCCCTCACGTTGCCTATGCAATGAAACTACAGTAATTCCCCAAAACCCTTTCAATCATTCATTCCCCTTTCTGTTATACCATTACTTTGTCGTAGTGGGGGGGTTAACATCAAGGGTACTTAAAACCGATAAGTAAGAGAAATGTCGATTTTTCATACTGTGTCAACCATGAACTAGATTAGTAAGGCTGTAAACTTAATCCTAAGGAACTGAACTGTGGGCTCATACTCCAAACTCTACATCAGATTCATCCTCTCATCCAACATTGGGTTTACGGTTTAGGGTTTAGGGTTTAGGGTTTTCTATCCTGGCATCCGTCACACCAACTGGACAACCAACCCTGAAAGCACCTCCAGCCTCGCCTTATCACCTTTCGCTCGCCAAGACACGCCATTCAGCTCATGAATCTTCCCGTGAACAGGAGCCCCTCTTGTTGGGTGAATTCGCAGGCTTTGTTCACTCACTGCCAATGCGCCTTTCCTTCTGCAATCTCTTCCATTCACACGAGTCGATGAGAAAGAGAGGTGAATGAATTGACCCTTGGGGAAAAAGATGAAGATGTCATGGGTTTCTGCATGCAGTTTTTCCTCGGTCAGTTCGCTTGATAAAGCGCGCATTCCATATGCCTTCATTCAGCAAAGAGGCTACAGAAGAAGCCCAAAAGCCGCTTAAGGCATAGTTTTTTTTTTTGGAGGGGGAGGAGGCTTCTTTTGAGACGAAATGAATAACGCTGTGTTCGCTAACAGGTGTAAGTTACGATCATACATCACACGTGAACATGTTTCTAGCTACACCCTAAACCCTAAACCTTAACCCTTAACGTCATCAGATTTCACCTGCCAAGTATGCTTCTTTGTGCTGTATGAAGCTCCTTGGGCTTGGTCTCATCAATGGCAGCAGCAAGTATAGTTTAGGGCTTAGGGCTTAGGGTTTAGGGTTGAGGGCTTAGGGCTTAGGGCTTAGGGTTTAGGTTTAGGGTTTAGGGCTTAATGTTTAGGGTTTAGGGTTTATTGGACATGTATGTACTGACGCAACGCGAGTTGGTTGTTATTGTGTGTACAGCCGTCGCTGCTTCTTAAACCCTTGGAGGATCCGTTGGCCTATCTCCACATCTGCGCAACACATTTGGCGGACATGTCCAAGCAGGATATCACTGTCCTCTCGTCATCCAACGACTTCCCCTTCATGGAAACAGAGCCTCGGTAGCCCCTTTACTTCATTTCGTTCACGGTTCCCTTATACAGTAACCAACCCAAAAAAAGGTGCCCTTACTCTAATATGGTTGCTAGGCTACCAAGGAGCAGAGCCCCTACAATCCAGATGGCATGCGGCAGATCCGCGATATTGATCTTCCGAAGATTGTCTCCGCGAAGTGCAGCAGTGCCTTAGTTGTAGTAACCTTTGACCTTTCCTGGGGGGGGGGGGGTTATCATCCCTGTATAATCCCAAAGGGTTAACCTTTAGTTTCCCCAGCATACTGGACAACTAAGGTGCGAGGTCGTATAGGGAGTGCGAACAACGGACAGAAAGCAGTCCGTTCTGCAGGTGGATGACAGAGTCGCAGGGGTAGCTGGAAAGAGTTTCTGAGTTTTTTGGTTACTATACTCCCTCAGGAACAGCTAAATTCACAACCCTAAACCCTAAACCCTAAACCCTAAACCCTAAACCTCTCCTACTACATATATTTAAATGTTAAACCCCTTCGTCGGCAAGGCACAAGTCCTTCGTCGGCAAGGCACAAGTCCTTCGTCGGCAAGGCACATTTGCTCGTCGCGGGGCTAGGGTTCAGGTTTTTCACTGGTCTGGTTGCTCCAGGGTTCAGTTTTTCACTGGTTTTGTGCCTTTGCCGACGAAGGACTTGTGCCTTGCCGACGAAGGACTTGTGCTTTGCCGACGAAGGTCCTGAACATTTAACTAAATGTTCACTTGGTGCCAGCTTGGAGGATTTTTAATTTTTTTGGGGCTGCGGTCAGTAGCCGTCAATCAGAACCAGGGCCCGTCCGCGCAGGCACTCAGGTTCCAAGGCTTACATCATCGTAACCCAGAGAAGGCACAAAGATCCCAAGCCTCAGTGAAGCCTGTCCCATTCCCTCCTGCTCATCCTGCCTGCCGTCTTCCTCCGGCTGGGAAGGCGTGGCCAGCTGTGGTTCCTAGTGGTCCTAGTGCAGTCAGACACAGTTGCAGCGTGGTACTGTCAAGCTTGGGCACAAGCCTGCAACCTGCCGCTGCTCGTGTGGTCCAAGGCTCTCAAACTCTCTGGCTGACGTGGTGACGGAGTCTTCGGCGAGCTTGTTGGTTGAGCCTGACGAGGGTGCCGCCCAGATCCCCCCAGCCCTCCAAGCAGTCGTGAAGCCGCAGACGCTGCGTTTCAAAGCTGCGGACCTCCAGTACCACTATTTGCACATTGGCTTGATTGAGCACTTGTGTTTCTGGGTCGTCTTCAGGAGCCAGCAATAAACTAAACAACCGCAATTTGAGATTCCCGGCTCTGGCCAGGCACTTGAAGCAGGCCCCTGAGCTGCTGAAAGACCGCTACAACACCAAGGAGCAGTTCACATGGGCGCTGGCAGGTTTCAACGCCTATCGCAGCTCCTTCTTGCCAGACGGCAGCTTCGACGAAGATTACGGTGTGGCGGCCTGTACCTCGACAGCCGAGACCGTTGTGAGTTTTTGTAGATATCGGGATCTTTTCTTCAAACCTGGCCAGAAACTGTAATGATGAAGACTTGTGTCAACCCAGATTTCCCCTGGGAAGATGTGGAGCTCCTTCCGAAGCTTCAGGATGTGGCGCGGCCCATGCCGCCGCAGAATGGCACGCCGCAGGTGTATGCTGTCGTGTCTTGTCAGTATAGACCGGTAGCCCGTGCCAGTTGAAGTTGTAGCAAGCCATCATAATGGAAATAAAACCAGTACGAAGGTGGCCTGTTGCGTGCGGGAGCTCCTGGATCAGTTCCTGTGCCCGCCTGACACCAAGCACTGCCGCCTCATCTTGTTTCCTTACATAGCGAACGGTGCGGCGCGAGGGTTCTTTCTGCGAGCCTTCGAAGCCTGGCAAGATCGAGGGTGGCGCAGATTGTCATTTTTTGGGGACGTTGGTTTAGGGTTAGGGTTTGTAGGATGTAGGGTTGCAGTAGAACATGTCTGACTGAGCTGATTTGAGCCAAGGACACGGATCCTTCATGGACAGGATGGACTCTGCCTGTCGGCTCGGACGGGTTACTCTTGTCCATGTCGGCCTACGACCAAGATGTCCTGACGTTTGCATCCTCGTTTCTGAGTCGCTGCGGGTTCATGGCAACGGTGCCGCGAAGTGCGCCGGTGGGAAGTGCCTCTCATGAGCAGAGGAACAAGGCCATGCTCGAGGCCAGTTTCCTCCGCGAGCGATTCACTGAGGAGTTGGAAGCCACTCTTTCCAAGTGTGGAGTGCGGCTGGCCGTCTGCAACAACATCCTTCTGTAACTTGGCTTATTCACTTGTACTGTGGTGCGGCTGTGTGCCATGTGTTGAAACGGGGTGGCACTGTTGCGACCCCAGTGGAGAACGGCTTCGCTCAGTACTGTGAGAGGCTGCCTTGCGATGGGGTGGAGTCAAGCCCAGGCCGCTCGCTTTGGGCGACGGATTCCGGGTTTTTCTATACCATTTCGATGGTGCCGGCCCTTGCGAATGCCACCAAGAAGTTCGTCACACCGGTGATGATGCCATTCTGCGAGGTGCTAAAGGGCGACCTCGACGAGGGGTTGGAGGATTTTAGGTTGTCGAAGAAGCGTGAGGTGAGCTTCGCCTACCTGGGCCGTTCTGCGAGGTGCTGAAGGGCGACCTCGACGAGGGGTTGGAGGATTTTAGGTTCTCGAAGAAGCGTGAGGTGAGCTTCACCTACCTGGGCGACGGCGACGACTTTTGCCTTTTCTTAGACTGATACACACTGGACCCTGGGGCTGTGTTTTGCAAGTTGTTGTTGAACATCATGTTTGAAGGTCATGTTGCTTCGGGCGCAATATGTCAACGCCGAGCTACCAGTTGACCTATTCTTTGCAGTCTTTTGAGACATTGTGTGTGGTCCACGGGACGGCTGGGCCCCCCCCCCCCAGGCCTTGCCAAAATGATATACTCAGTAATTTTGCAGCCCAAGACTTATGCCTCAAACATCAAAATCCCCTCCAAGGAGCGTGCCATTGTCTGGAAGCGCGTGCCACTTGTACTCAAGTGGGGCCGCGCACTGGACGCATTGGGCAGGCCATTCCAACTGACGATGTGCAGATGCTCATCATGGACCCGGCAACTCGAACGTGCACAGCGCACGACTTCCACGAGATCCGCGGAGTAGGTCCTGGGTTTTGTTGGGTTTGGGGTTTGGGTTTAGGGTTAAGGAGTTTATAGGGTTTAGGGTTTAGGGTTTAGAGTCTCGGGCCTAGGGTCTAGGGTTTAGCGTTTAAGGTTTAGGGTTCAGCGGTAGTTAATACAAATTAGTTGTAATATGGCTCCAAGGCCCAGGCTCCCAGGCACCTCGGATCTTGCCCGACACAGAGGGGCAGCCTGGCCGATTTCAAGCCGGCCAGCAGAATTTTGGAATTGCGGCGGCGTGGTCACTGTACATCTTGTTTCCCAGCTTGTCACACCTTGCGTGCCTCTGAGAACCACCTCAGGCTAGGACAAGCAGACTCCATATCCTGTGACCCATGTTGCCTGCACCCATGCCTATGCGCTGCCAGCACGCGTGCGAAAGGGTCTTGCTGAGAGAGTGCAGCACTGCAGCAGCCTAGGAGCTATGGTAGATTTGCCGAAGCATGAAACCTGGTTGACGCAGGCGATCTTCATCCTGGCCTGCTTCCTGGTCTTCAGGCGCATGTCTGGGGCCGGCGCCGGGCGGGTCGAACTGAGCTATTTCGTAGGAGCACACGTGTCTTACAGCATTAGGCGGTTTAAGAATCCAGGGGTTGAGCACTTGACTGTCTCTTCACAGCTGAGCAAGAGTTTCTGTTGAGGTTCATCGCCCCGGTGACCTCATCTGCTCCGGCAGCAACACCGGCCTGCCATACGACGAGAACCATTGCGACTACTTGGCCAAGAATTGTGGGTGCATCTGCAAGACTGGCCATTGCATCTGCGCCAATCCATTCAGTGGCCTGGTGACGACTATTGCCAGCTTGTCAGGCTCCCAGGCTCCTGGGCTTTTAGGCTCCATGGGCCTTAACCCCTGTCCAACCCTAAAGCCCTAAACACCTAAACCCCTAAACGCTGAAAGCCCAAAAATCATCAAATCCCTAAAGCCCTAAAACTCGAAAGCCCTATAACCCTAAAAGCCTATAACCCTAAAACCCTTAACCCCTCAAGCCCTAAAGTAGCCCTAAAGCCCTGCAGACTTGAGCTCAACCCTAAAACCCCTAGAGCCCTAAACCCCTTAAGCCCTGTGACCCTAAGGCCTGAACCCCTCGAGCCCCTAAAATCCCTCAAGCCCATTCAAACCCCAAAACGCTGAAACGCAGGAGCTTCCCTTCATCCGCGGAACAGCCGCTCGGAGGGTGCGGAGCGCTCGGAGGGTTGGGGGTTTAGGGGGCTTCGGGCTTTAGGCGGGTTTTAGGGTGTGCGGGTTGCAATGAAGGGTTTTAGGGGTTTAGGGGCTTAGGGCTCTGGGGTGTTAGACTTTTAGTTTTTCTTCAGGGCTTTAGGGTTTTTAGTGCTGTCGAAGTTTAGGGGTTTGGGGCTCTAGGGTTTTAGGGTGTACGTTTAGGGCTGAGGGCTCGAGGGTTGTAGGGCTTCAGGGTTTTAAGGCTTTAGTGCTTTAAATTGAGTGCTTTAGGGGTTCAAGGCTTTAGGGGTTAAGTGGTTTAGGGCTCTGGCGTTGTAGGGTTTTAGTGCCCTAAGCCCTACACCCTAAACCCTAGACCGACTGAGCCGATGCTTCGATTCGGAGATGCGAGCTCCGGCGCCTTGGGTTTTCGATATGGGGTCCTGTTTCCGGTGCTTGGCCTCACCCTGCTACCCAAACTTGAAGACCCGTGTGTCAATGCTATTTGGATCACCTTTGAAGTCCGGCTCCTGGTTTCTGACTCCGTCGATGTAACTTCCCTCTGACAATACCTCAGACCCCTGCGATGTGGACAGTACAGTGCAGCTAGGCGGGCGGCAAAAAAACCTAAACCTAAAACGGTTAAGGCTTTAGGTTTTATATAGCCTAAACCCCTAAACCCTTGGAGCTTTAAACCTCCAAAGCCCTAATAAACCCTAAATTAAGCGCCAAAACCCTAAACCCCTGAAACCTTAAAGCCTTACCCCTAAACACCTAACACCCCTAAAGCCCTGAACCCTAAACTCTAAAGCCTTCAAGAACTCCCAAACCCTTCCGAGGGTCCATAGATGCGCATACTTCCTCTTCGGCAGGCGCAGTCCATCTCTTCAAGCTTCCCGTCCGCCACGCTTCGGCGGCACCCACTTGGTCTGAACGGAAGTGCAGGCACGTCAGGGTTCCCACATTGAAGGCTCCAGGATGTCGCAAGGTT